GCGACGTTTACGCCGTGCCGTTTAACGAGATTAAAGGGAACGATAAATTCCAAGTCGATCCCGTTGGGGGGTGTGCCTTTAAACCGACGAAAACGAGACGATACCGCGGACAATGCGGCGCGGCCGCGAAACGGGAACGGGGAGGTGCAATGAGGCCGCACCGAGTCCCATTACCCTCTAAGTGCCGGACATTTTATCCGGCCTGGGAAATGAAATTACATGATTTACAGGGAAGGCGGGGTGCGCGCCGTTAACGAATTCACGGTGTATAGCTAACCTGTAACCTGTTGAGTTAACTACCGAGCCGGGTTTCGCCACTCCAGTTTTACACGCCATTAACACCCACGTTTAAGCAGCGGAGGCTTAATAATAGCGCGATTACGATCAGTCAACGATCGGTTCAAGGTGGAGGTCGGCGGGACCGGAAAGACCGGTGAAGCGCGATCGATCGTCGAAGAGACCTCCGGGCAAAAAGGAGCGGGCTCTTTGATTTACCTCGAAAACGTAAATCGTCGTTTCCGCCGACCTCTTTGGAGCGACCGGCAGGACTTTTGTCATCGCCGGAGAGGAGGAATTTCCCTCGGCTTCGGGAAAGACGGAGAAGAAAGATGGCGGCCAAAGCCGTAGGAATACCAGTCGTCGATGGCAAGAGAGTCCCTTAAAGAGGCAACTAAGCTACTTATCGCGAGCTTAGTATGAACGGCGACCGGTCGCTCGTAATGGGGAGAATCATCGTGCATCGGTGTACGGAGCGAGGCCCCTTTGTATACGCGCACACGTCCGCGATATGTACGTCCGTACATATCGCGGACGTGTGCGCGTATACAAAGTGCTCCCACGAAGCTGCATTCCGCGCGCTTGTTGGTTATCTCGAGTATGCTGTGCTTTACGGATGCCCCGGAACCCCTCCCGGTTGTTACCCTAAATAAGCCAATTTATCGGCTCGACTCTCGAACTCGGACTTACCCGGAAACGCGATTTCCGCAAACGCGGATGACGAGGACCGATCGAGGGCAATTAAAAGGTGGACGCGCTCGATATAGCGGGCGCGCTCTGAAACTGCATTTCGCGAGCTCGTTCGTTATCTCGAGTATTTATGTAAGGCAAATGGGCGGCGGCGTTTGTAACTGCCCTCGGTTTACCCGAAAGGGGCCCATTTATTGGCCGAGCACTCGAAGTCGCGGGTGCCGCTTCGAGCGTTCGCGATTCGGACTTACCTAGAAACGGCGGATGCTCTTTCGAGAGCTACCTTCGCTATATTTTTTTTAATACTAATTTTAGGACGGGGACGAACGCGGTCGAGGATCCCCGAGAGTATTTAAGGAGCCGATCGTTCGCGAGAGATCAAGTCCGAGAGAGAGAGGGAGACCGGGTGACACTTCCGACATCCGATACGGCGCTTAGCGCGAGATTACGCAAATCGCCGGCTCCGATGTCGGGCATAATTCCTAATTTTGCCGGATTACTCGTTAACGTCTCAATACCATGGATGAAATACGAAAAATCCGCCGAGAGGAAAAGTCGATCGAGCCCGGGTGCCCGCGACCTCTCGCGTGACAAATCGTCTCGATAAACCGGTCGCTCGTCCACCGGCGAGATTCGATCTTTTTCTCCCTCGCGTGTACCTTACCGCGTTTACGCGTTACACACTTACACGGCTTACGCGGTGACATAAGTGTCGGCTCAACGCCCGGTCCGCAAAATAAAGGAATCGCTCGAACTCGGTCCTGTCTCGTTTTATCCGCCCGAGTCTTTATTCGACGAGCGGGGCTTAATTAATCGCGCTTAATTTTAATTAAGCACTTTCCCCCGAGCACCGTTCACCGTTTTCCTTTCGCGCGAGACCCCTTTCCTCTCGAGGTGGGCTTGGCCGCCATCTTGGATCCGCCCGCGATGCGTAAACCGCGAGAAGTCGCGACCGCAACCGCTGCATTAGCCGAAGTGCACATCAAAGCTCCTCTGTCGGGGCTCGCATCCGAAAAACCTCGAAAAACGCCCGATTCCATGGAAACCCTCCTGGGCGAGTCGATTGAGTCGGGGAAAAACCGATTAGCCGTGGAATCGAGTGTCCATTTTATAAAATCGCGGATCTCGGGGAATCTTTGAGTCTTCCCGGCGGGAAATTCAAACGTCTCGGTACGTGCACACCGCGATCGAATTACGCTACTGGACGCGTGCTCGTCTTAACGATTTACATAATATTCCCCCCGAGTGATAGACCAGCCGCGCGCCGTTAGATAGAGGAAGAGCGAAATCGCGAGAGGAAGGGGGATAGAGGGGAGCACCGTTACGGATAACGTTTACGCGCCTTGTACGCGTGGGATGACATACTTGTCGCCAAGCAGTCTGGTGCCGTCTCTTACGTCGGCGCGTCCCCTCTGTCTTCCATTCGGACCGTCTTTCGGCAACTATTCTTAACGCCGCCGCACTTAACGCTTTACGTCCTCCTCCTGCTTTACGACCGCGCGTTTCGCCTCTCTCTTCCGTCCGCGTGTCTTTATGCACGCGGCTTATAAATAAACGCGCGCGTAAATAGGCAGCTCTCGTTTAACGGCGGTCTCGGGGCCCTCCACGTGTCGGAAGCATCCCCCCACGTGGATGGCTCTTGCCGGTAAGCAGTGGAATTAACGGCGACCTCTCGCAAGGAAGGGACCCTCGCGATCTTTATCCGTTCAGAAAAGGAGGAAACCGCTCTCGTTATCCGCCTCGATGGGCGCTATCGAGTTGCCGCAGTTTTCCAAGGGGGAGGAGCCTTAATAACGTTTTAAACTCGGTTTAAGTCGGGCCTCACACCTGAGCGTAAGAGGGGCTTAAAGGATGACACGAGACAAGAATAACCGGGACGGCGCGGCGTAAAAAGCGGATTTGGCGGATTTCTTATTCCGGGCCCACAGGCCGCGGCGCGGTCGCGCCGCTCGCTCGAGCGACGAAAGTCCGACCGGGAGAACATATCTAGAGCGAAATGTCCAGCATTTAAATCGCGCGACGGGTCGAGCGAATCGCGAGCATTTATGGCAGGGCCGCGCGTCGGGGACCAAGATGGCGGCGGTCGAAAAGGGACGCCACCGCGTCCGCTTTTTACCCGGACGCCTCGATGCGCTGCCTTGTCCCCGACGATCGACGTATCTTCGGCGTCATCTCCGCGAAGACGTTACGAGTTTGAACCGCGGCCTGATCTCAAAGTCTGGGGCATCTACGCGAAAGATTATCCGCCTTATCCGTCTACGTATATCCGCCCGGACGTCGGTACACGCGGCCGATCTCGAGAGATACGACTCGACGTAACCTAATCTCCCGGTGAATTATTGGCTTCGCCCTCTCCTCCCCGAAGTCCTCCTTGGGTGTCTCCGCGGAGAGACGGAAACCGGCCATTACGGTTCCTCGACCCCGTCGTTTCTCATTTTCACGCCGCCGACCGTACACGGTGTCGCCCGGCGCTTTTCTCTGCCTCCTTTCGACGAGTCGGCGCGTCCCCTCTACGTATTCTTGTCGACGTTTCGATATTCCGCGTATTTCTCGCGGCGACGTTTCCGCGGCTCGCGAAATCCCCGCATCCGAAAGAATGGCTCGTTTCTCGACCCTCGATCCTCTCCGAAAACCCGTAAAAAATCCGTCAAGCCTTAATCCGCGTTCTTCTCGCTGCCGTGTCCTTTCCCGCGTCCATTGGCCTTAATCGGGCCGCTTTCCCGGTGCACCGCGTCGGCGGCGCATCCACGGAAATCCTATGGGCGACCGACGCATTGACACGGCGCGCACCGGTGACGTCACTTCCGGGTATAATGCAGGAATGCCAGCCGAATTTAGCGCAATCGGATAATGCGCCCGCAGTCATTGTCGGCTACCGCTTTATTCGTCATCGGCCGAGCGAGTTGCTGCTCTCCGCATGGGAGTCCGCGCGTCCAGATGTCCGTTCCGCTTTCGCCGTGCCAGTGTCCGTGTAATTTGTGCGGCGAAATTATTAAATCCGGGGGAAACGGCAGTTTTGCGCATCCGGCCGAGAATTTGATACGATATCGAGGCGAGGGAATCGGAGGCTACGTCAAGATGGCGGCTCCGGTCTCGTCCGGTCTCGTCTCTGGGATTTTCTCGTCCCGCGTTTGCGTGCGCGCGGCAATTAAAGTCGGCGTCGATATCGGCGAGGACATTAAATTAACGAGCCGTAATTTTCGCGTGTCGTCCCACCGTCGGGAGAAGAAAGAGGAACGCACGGAGCATAGGAAGGGGCGCCGGGAGACCGCATCCAAGATGGCGGCGTCCTCCGAGCGTTCATCCGTCAGGGCGAGTCTTTATGCGAACTAACGATCGCCGATCCGCCGCGGCTCCTCTCCGGATGGCGAGCGCCGTTGCGGCCTCTCCGCGCGATTCCTGGTAATTGTCACCGATTTCGCCGCCATCGGAGAGTTATATCGCGCGAGTGCCTCGGAATGCAATTTTCCGCACGAGCTGCCCGAGACGAGTCGATCCTTGGATGGCCTCGAAATAACTCGATTGACCCCGTTGGAGGGGGCACCGAGAGCCATCGTTTCCCGGTGAATTCGATTTTCCGCCAGCGGTGTTTCTCGCCGATAATGGCGGCGCGTGACATAAGCCGCGGAAAATGCGAGAGGAGCGCCGAGGACCGGTCCCGGAATATTTCCATCTTCGCGTTGTCCGGGAAGCGACGTCGGTCGGCTTCGAGACCGCTCGCGTCGAGAGGACGCTGAATTCGTCTATGAATATTCACCTTCTCGGACCGATTGGCCGACCTACGGATCGACCTACGCGCTGCGCTTTCTTTTCTTCGCGTCATTTCCGCCGGGTAACCCGAGATCTCGCGAATACGGACGAGGTGTACGCGACCCACGCGGTCTCGTTTTTCCGCCCGTCTGGCAGACTCTTACGCGAAACCGAGATCCAGGATTTTATTTTGCCCTCCGCGGTGGCAATTCCCGACGGGTAATAACGGGACGAAGAGGGAGAATCCTCCTTCCTTTTGACGACTCGACTCGTTCTTGCCGCAGGTGCAACCACGATGTGACGTCGCCCCGAGGAAGACACCCCCCGCGACCGAGGAGCAGCCACTATGAGGCGTCTTCTTCAGGTCCTGATGGTGCTTTACTTGGGCGCCAGTGCCAGAAGGACGGAGGGCGACGCCATCGCCGACGATGTCTTCGCCGGCCAAAGACGAGGCTCGCTCTACAAGACCGGATACGGCTCTGCCGGAAGCCCCGGGAGCGGCAACAACAACCAGGCCAATTCGCCGTATCTCCCTTATCAGCAGCCCAGGGAGAGGAAGCCCAACATCGTTCTGATCCTCACGGACGACCAGGACGTGGAACTCGGTCAGTCGCCGATCCTCTACACTTTGCCTCGTCTGTACTTTTTGTCGCGATCCCGTTTGCTCAACCGAGAAAACTTTCAATCGACACCCAGGTTCCTTGAACTTCATGCCCCGGACCCTGCGGAGGATCAGGGACGAGGGGGCCGAGCTGCGACACGCGTACGTGACGACTCCGATGTGCTGTCCGAGCAGAAGCTCCTTGCTGACCGGCCGCTACGTCCACAACCACGAGGTGTTCACCAACAACGACAACTGCAGCAGCCCGCAGTGGCAGCGGGACCACGAGCCCCACTCGTTCGCCGCCTACCTGAGCAACGCCGGTTACCGCACAGGTAGGCGACGAATATCCCTCCGATTCTACAAAATCTCGGTGACGAGGCCGTTAACCGCGCCGTTTACGAAAGAAGCAGCCTGGAATCGCATCGAGTTCTCGGCGAGTCTCTCCGACTCGAGATGGCCGCTGGGCACTCGTGCACTTTCGCCGCACGTTCCGTCTGGGGGTATATACCTGCGGTTTGGCGTTAATCTAACGGTACGTCACTCGGGCCGGACGGGACGCCACGATCCGTACCTCGAGTCGCTCGTCCGGGTACCCGGTCGTTCGATTTGTCCCGAGCGGAGCGCGGTCGGGTGCGTCCGAGATCGCGATAATTATCCCGATTAGCTCCGCACTCCGCGTACAGGAACAAGTACTCGACAACGATCGCCGAGAGACGTGGAGGGAATTTCCCGGACGATGGACGGCGGGATTTTTCCAGGGGTCGATCTTCGTCGTCTAGATTCCGGAATTTTCTCCCATCCGAGGTTACATTAGGGCGTCTGCATTTTTTACTCGGAACGCTAGGAAAGAGGTGGAAGGGAAAGGGCGAGTTCCGGACCCCAGGTGCGGTCGGGGCTCCGAGGTAATGGGCGAATTCGAGATGGAGACGGTGTCTTATTTTCCTCCCTCCTTCTCTCTCGCCTCTTCTTCCTTTTTTCGCCGGCGTACGTCGCCCCCTTTCGGAGGCCGCAGCCGCGACTCGTTTGTTCGCGCTCGAGCGAGCCCTTCGATCGACCAAACAACGAGCGAGCACTCCCCCGAATACGAATCGCGCCCGAGACCCTTTCGCATGAACGGGAACCGCGCTCCTCCACCTTTGCCCCTTCGACTCGAGAATTCGCTCATCGATCGGCTCGCCCGAGCCCAAGAACTGCCCGATTTGCGATCCGCGAGGATCCCCCACGAAGTTTACCGTCCCCGGAAGGTGGGCGACGCGACGCCGTACTTTTCCTCCTCGCCTTCCTTTCGCATCTCGGCGCCCTATCTTAATAGAATATCTGATATCTTAATGGAATTCGAGGTGGCGCGACCGAAGAGGCCGCTCGGGTATCGTTGCATGCAAATTGGTGGCCGCTAAACGCGAGCCACGCTCGTTAGCCTCGGGCACCTCCGCGAAGCGATCCGAATCGCTTTTTCTCTCCGACGGAGTCCTCGCCTCGCCCCGTAAAGAACGCGCGAAGACGTCCTCCGAGGACTCTACGAGATCGATCGCCGTGGAATCGCGGGAATTTTTCCAAGAGACGGGAAGGAGGGCGCGATTTCGCCCGAGACAAGGTGGGCGCATCGAACGAGGGATCGGAAGGTAAAAGCAGGCCGTGGATGTCCCGGCGACGATGCGCTGGGCGCGCATTTTATCCGCGAGCTCTCCGCGGTTGTAAACCAGGCGACACTTGTAAACCGGAGCCAGAACCGGTCGGGCGCGGATCGCGACGCGGAGATCGACCTCCGCGGGATGAACTTATCGAAATTCTAATCGCGGCGCGGAGGTTCTCGGGCCGCACGCGCGAGCAAACGGATCGCTCGCCGGATAAGGCCCGGTGCACGAGTGCGCGCTTCTCCGTAAGGCCAGGGTGCATCGGGCTCTCGAGGCAGAGTCAGGCGAATCTCGCCCTCGTCGACGGCGCTCGATCGTTTCCGGGTCCCTCCGCGATCCATCTCGAATGCCGATCGCGTCTTCGCGGCTCTTTTCTCTGTCCGAGTTTCCTTAATCCGAGCCGCGGTTTCCAACGCGATTCGACGTCGTCCCCTTGCACTCTCGAGGCTAAAAATTGCCGATAAAATCGCAAGAGCGGAGAAAGAGGAGAGACACGGAGAAAAGATCGGCACGAAGTGGGAGAGGGCGCCCTCGCAAAAGGACGGGCTCTCTTTTGCACCGGCGAATAACGCGGAGCTCGATAAAGGGCTCGGTGCAGGTGCGTCGAGTCCGTCGAACTTTTAAAAGGTGGCCGAAAAGCACCCGGATGCAAGTGCTATTCTTCTCCTGCACTTTTGTCGAATCGCGGCGGATTTTTCCCCGCGGGGCGGAACGCGCCGTCTACCGGAGGCCGGATCAAAAATACCTGGACCTAATACTAGGCCAGTCGTAAATATCCGCGCGATAGCTTTATCGCACAATGGGTCGCAAGGACCTACGACAAGCGGCCAATACCGCGCGGACACGTTTGTCCAAACTCGAACAATGAAACGCGTCCACGCATTACCGGGGCTTAGCGTATATACGATAAAGCGGCCTCGACGTCGCATTAGCGCGCCGTTCCGCCACGGAGATAACGCTAGATCGATTCGAGACGGGACTTTTCACCCGCTCCGCCTCCCGTGGGGCGGTAAATCTTGCGAGATTCCCTTCCTCGATGTCCCGGGCCGTCTCAATTATTTTCCGCGCGATAGCGTCGCCCGCCGACGAGAAGTCGGTCGCGTAACCCCTGGAGGATCTTGGCCGCCAGTAGACGGACGGGGGGAACGCGTCGTTTCCTCCGCCCCTCCCGAGTCCTTATTCGTGCCACTTTCTTGCCCGGCCTTTTATTTCCTACCACCGGCGCCGAGATATCGTGGCCGTCCCTTTGTCCACGCGGCTTTCCGTCGACTCGTCGGCGATCGGGCGCAACAGGTGCGAATCCGCCGGATGAGCGCACCTGCGACGACCGCCGACTTCCTCCCGGGTATTCGCGGGCCGACCCGCCCGGAAACGCTCCTTGCGAGCGTTGTCGAATTTTTTTTAGGGATCATAAATCAACGGTGAAAGTCGCCACGGGTCGCGTGTCGCGTTCGGGACGACAAGTCGAGCGGTTTCCGGGGTCGGAAGGAACGGCCGCGCCTCCACCTTGGGAGGCTGCACGCATCGGGGCGCGAACCGTTAAATCCATTAGCGCTACTTGGGTAATTAACTCGTGCCACCGCGGCGTCTTGGCGGGCCGGATCGCTGGCAATTAAAGCGCAATTGCCGGGCAAGGTTGTTTATGCAAAGTGACTGGACGTCAACCGCTTTTCCCGCGGAACCCGCCCCTCGACCGGAACCCGTTCGGCTGGGGATCTCGCCGAGAAAGGGAGCAAGACGAGGCCCAAGGTCTCGGAAACGCGAGCGCGTTCCAAGGCGGAAGGGGTCCAAACTCTCGGTTCGAAGTCGAGTTCCCGGTGGAACGCCCAAAAATTGTAAAGGAACAAAATTCGGCTCGGGATCGCGAAATTTCCTCGGCGTCCTTCCTCGAAGAGTTCGGCATCTTCCTCGAACAAAGGACGCCTCGACGAGGCGGACCGCCGCGACGTACCTTCGAATGAATTATTTGATGCACCCTCCCCGCGCCGCCGCTTAAAACCCTCCGCCGCCATGAATTATTCAGCCGACGTACGGTATATTTTTCGGTCGATGCGTTCCAACTTGTCCCCGTGTGTCGGAATACCGCACGTAACCAGGAAACCGAGTTTCCCTCCCCCGGAAATTCGCTGGAACGCGGCGGACTCCATTTTGAAGGACGAGGTAAAAGTGGAGGAAAAGGCGGATCGTTGAGAAATCCCGGACAAGGCGCGCCTGTCCGGGCGCGGTTAGCGCCTCGAAGTACTCGGCATGAAACGCCCGACACGCTTGATTATCGCCCGTCTCGTTTCCGCAGGATACTTCGGGAAGTACCTCAACAAGTACAACGGCTCCTACATCCCCCCCGGCTGGCGCGAGTGGGGCGGCCTCATAATGAACTCCCGGTACTACAACTACAGTGTCAACATGAACGGCAAGAAGATAAAGCACGGATTCGAGTACAGCAAGGACTATTATCCGGACCTGATAGCCAACGACAGCGTGGCGTTCCTGCGCCAGAGCAAGCACAACTTCGCCAGGAAGCCCGTAATGCTGGTCGCCAGCTTTCCGGCCCCCCACGGCCCGGAGGACTCGGCCCCGCAGTTCTCCCACCTCTTCTTCAACGTCACCACTCACCAGTGAGGGCCCCGAAAGATTCGCGGGACTCCTCTCTGCCCACCGTTTTCTCTTATCGGCCCGATCGTTGCTCCTGTCCCTCCGCTGTCGGTTATCGCGGGTGCAGCTGCGCGCTCTCGTTACGAGCTCCGCACAGGCGGTTCTTGTTCGCCGCCCGCGGAACGGCTCCCAGTTTTACGGTGACACCGGGTGTCCGTAAGGAAAGGTCGCGGATAATTGTCGAGACTCGGACCGGTCCGTTGGAAATTGCCGACGGGAAAAAAACGCCCCGGTCGAAAGTCTCTTCGACCTAATGGGATCGACGCCTGCAGCGAGGTGCAGTTAGGCGCGCCTCGCTCCTCCGCTTTATCAACGGCGGGTGATTAAACGCCGTGCGGGCTGCCTTTTCAGATTGTCGGACAATGCGAACGCCGGGGGAATTCAAGGGACGGGTCTCCTCGTCGCGTCTCGACGACCTCGTTGAAACGTCCCGACCCGTTGGTGACGTTTGCTCTCCGGATCTAATAACGAGACTCGAACCGGAAGCTGGAGGGGGATGGGAAAAATGGGAAAAACGACAGGAAGGGTGGGACGGACTGACGTCACCGAAGTGACGAAGGACCCTGGAGTCGGACGAGAGGAGGCGAAATCTCTCGCTCTCTCCGTGAATCGGGTTCCTGGACCCGATCGAGAGCGAGAAACGCATTCGTTCGCTAGAGACGCGTCATCGAGGACGTGGATAAAGTAACTAAAAAAATTTGCTCGCGAAGGTTCGTCGATCGAGTTTTGCGCCAAGTACTCGTGGTGGGCCCGAGACGAGGTCGGTTACTCGAAGGAACGCCCACGGAATGCATTTTTCAAGACGCGTTGTTAAAACCCGGGGGTCTCGTAGGTACGCGACGACGTGGTCGAGGAGTGCGCGCGCGTGGAATGTTTAACGTAATTTAATACGCGAGGGCGCTAAGCCTCGGTGTCACGGCTAATCGGTGCGATCTTAATTAATAAGTTCGTCGCGGGGGAGCGAAAGAGCGCGCGTTTCGAGAGGCCTTAATTAAGGTTAACAGCGGATCGAGGATCGTATCCGGTCGGATCATCGATCGGCGATTTCCGATAAAACTTTACATTTAATTAACGCTCTCGATGCCGCAAATTAAATGGGCAGATTGGCATCGACCGACGCCGAAGGAGTCGGGGATACGGAGCAAAAGGAAAAGAGCGCGCCGAGCGGAGTTCCGGGGATTTCGTTTCCCACCAATTACGGAGCCGATTAACTCGGACCGTTTCTATTTCAATCGGCGCCTGCCGAACTCGAGTCCTTTAATTGCACGCGGGTAAAACCCGGTTTCAAGCCCGAATCCACGGCCGCGAGTCCCCGTAGCCCCGAGACGGAGGTAGGAAAAGTTTTTCCAGATTCTCGAAAAGCAGTAACCGAGGCGTCCACCGGTCGAGGGCGGCCGAGTAGAAAGAAAAACGTTGATTGAAATTCGCCTCGGTTTCCAGAGGGCGGCGCCGACGGTCTCGAGCGATAATTAAACGTTGGTTATACCGCGGCCGAGATGATAAATAGTTTCCCCGTGTTTCTTTTGCCGAGCCGAGCACGTGGCGTTAAATCTGCCCGTCAAAACCGATCGTAACGCGCGCGGGTGGTCTCGTCGCGTAATCCCATCTCGCGTTTTTTCACCGCGGGATAAATTGGCCCTTGACACCATCTCGATGGCGAATCTCCGCGCGCAATTACCGCCGAGGATCTCGTTCGGCCGGTCGGCCGGTTTTATCGTGGGCGCCCGCAATATCCGTGACAATCGGATAAACCGCTCGACCTGGGGAATCCTCGTTCGACCCGGCCTTTATCCCGGAACGTTTATGCGGATCGAGATCGACCTCGGAATCCGGCGAGACGTCGGCCACCCTCGGACGGCAAAGAATACCTCGTGAAGGAGGGGGCGCGGGGCGTCTGGGCTCTTAATTGCGAGCGGTGCGTCTCGCGCCGCGAGCTCTCAACTTTCCCGCGAGCGACTCGACGAGGCCCGGTATTTCAGGCCGCGAGTTTAATGCTTTATTTGGTCGCACCGAAACCGCCGAAACGAGCCCGCGTCTAGGGTCTTTAACTATTTACCGCCGAAGGGGCCTTCCACCCGATCGTCGGCCATCTCGCACCCGGAAACCGACGCGACGCCTGTCGTCGGGGACCCCGAGAGACGCGTTAATTATATACCCCGGGATTTCCGCGAGATGCTCGGTCCTTGAAACGGCATCTCGAGAGGGCGAGCACCGAGAGGCTGCGGCTCGTCAATTATCGCCGCGGTACCGCGCCGTCCGACGTGGCGGCGTTCTCCGAAGTCGCGATATACCGATATTTACCGCGCGATCGCGGTGCTTTCTTTTCGGAGTCTCCCTCCGGACTCGAAAACGTTCCGCGCGGACGGCCGCGCCTCCTGCCCTCCCAGGAAACCAGTTCCGCGGTTTACGACCGCCGTCCGCGGACGGAGACGCAACGGCCTTCCCATTATCGAAATTCATTATCCCGCGTCCCTTTAAACGAGGGACGGTCTATTTCTAGACGGGAATTTTCATCTCGATTCGATCCTTCCAGCACGCCGGCCTACGACTACGCGCCCAATCCCGACAAGCAGTGGATCCTGCAGGTCACCCAGAAGATGCGGCCGATCCACAAGCAGTTCACCGACCTGCTCATGACGAAGAGGCTGCAGACCCTGCAGAGCGTCGATTCGGCGGTCGACCGGGTGAGCTACCTTTTTCTTTTGTTTTCTCCCAAACTCGCTCGTCCAATTGACCCGGCGCATTCGTCGAGATTTCACGCTGGCCTCCTCCGTCGCAGATCTACCAGGAGCTGAAGGATCTGGGAGAGCTGGACAACACGTACATCATCTACACGTCCGACCACGGTTATCACTTGGGCCAGTTTGGGCTCATCAAAGGCAAGAGTTTCCCCTTCGAGTTCGACGTCAGGGTTCCCTTCCTCGTCAGGGGCCCCGGCATCGAGCCTGGCTCCGTGTAAGTCTCGGGTAGATACTTTCTTTCGGCGTCGACTGCACGACGAATTCCGAAATATACCCGTTACGAAATCGATCACTAGGAGTCGGTGCAATCGATGCTTAGGATGATCGACGAGCCAATCGACTCGGCGTAACGAGCATCTCGAGAACGGGGAACTGATATATGCAAAGGCACTCGGTTAATTTTTTACGAAGCTCTTTCAACTGTCTCGTCCGATGTCGTAATCCATGTTGCAACGTTGGGCTCGATCCGAGAGAGGATGCGAACCGTCGAGAGTCGTGCACGTGCACCGCGGTCGACAACATCATTTTCGGCTCGGGCTGACCAGCTAAATTTAGTGAAATTAATCTCCCAGCTGCCGGCGGAAGGAGCTTCGCCGCTTAACGAGCTTACTCGCTCCTCAGGGCCGTGGAATCATTGACCGCGGGCCTTTGACCCGAATCGAGCTTCCAAAGTCAGAGTCCCCGAGCTCGACAGGCTCTCCTTGATTATTCCGCGAAGATTAATTAACCCGGCGATTTCGTAATCCGACGCAAACCGGGCGTTACCGACCTGGGAATAACGAGGGATTCCTCGTGACGTTGCAGAGTAGACGACATAGTCCTTAACATCGACTTGGCGCCGACCTTCCTCGACATCGCCGGCGTCGAGACGCCCGCCCAGATGGACGGCCGCTCCTTCATGAAGCTCTTTCACAAGTACGCCCTATTCTCCCATGCGGAAATGCTGCGATAAATCGCGTTGAACTCGGGTATACCTTTTGACCCCACAGCAGCAAGCACGGCAGAAGATCGAAATTCAAGTGGCCGGACACCTTCTTGATCGAGTCCTCGGGACGCAGAGAGACTCCGGAGTCCATCCTCGAGGCCAGGGCCAAGGAGGCGAAAAGGCACAATGCAACGCTCGCCAAGGTATCCCACGTTTCCGAAGGGGAGGAGGAGAACGAAGAGGCCGAGGAGGAGGAAGAAGAGGAGACTATCGAGGAAGTCGAGGTCGAAGGCGACGCGGAATCTCGAATTTTGGAGAACGACACCGGAAGCGACCAGGACATTTCCGAGGACGAAGAGTTCGAGGACGCGATCGGGGATGAGACCAGTACGTCGTTGAACGAGGACCAAATATCTCCGTGTACTCGGGGAGAAGGAATATAATCGACGCGTTTTCCCTTGCAGACACGGAAGTGCATCTCGACAACCAAGTGCATCCGGTACCCCACGGACCGTATAGCTCCAAGCACGAGCGACTTGCCGTCGAATGCGCTCGACCAGAAGCTCAAGCGGACTGCGTGCCTGGACAAAAGTGGCGATGCGAAAGGGACGGCAGAAGATGGCGAAGGTATAAGTGCCGCTACTCCCCGCCTCCTATCCAGAAAGTGTGGAAAAAGTGCGCTTGTTTCACTCCCAACGGAGTGGTTTACACGAGGTTGGAGTCGAACGACTTCAACGCGTATAAATTTGGATACGGAAGGGAAAGAAGAGAGGGGAAAAATCCTTACGAGGACGTCGCCGGGTACGTCACTAGAAGAGGTAAGTCGTTTGTTTCTTAATTTGGACATTTTGATGCTACCGCAGGCAAGGCGGGGACCGGAATATATCCTGAAAATGTAATCAGAATTTTCGATTTCTGTCCAGGCAAAAGAGATATAGCGGACGAGGAAAGAATACGAGAAGCCGTTCGAGAGGACTTCGGACGAGAGGTCGATTCCATGGACGACCTCGATGATTTACGCGATCGACGCGCGATCGACGAGGAGGACGACGAAGAGTTCTCTCAGAAATTCGATCGTAATTACGGGGAGGAAGGAGACAATTTCGGCGATAATTACGGGCAGGTTTTCGAGGAGAATTTACCTCGATTAGTCGTTGACGAGGAGGACATTCGTTACGTACGAAACTTCATAAATCGCAAGTACTTGGAGAGGACGAATCAAACGAGATTGGCTGGTTTCGACGACGTCGATCGAGAAGGACTCTTTAAGGAAATTCCAGAAGAGGTGCAGCAATATTCTTCGCAGAAATTCGATCCCGATTTGGACAAAGTCGTGCGAGGCCGTTTGAACGTCGACGACGTTATAAGGAGACATCGCAGAATAAGGAGGAGCGTCGTTAAAAAAGATACGATCGAACACGTTACGAAAATCATGGAGAGCATCGAGGAAGAGCTGGACGACTTAAAGGTATAATCCATAGTATAGTTTAGCACCTTGAGTGCGGGAAGAGGAAAGGGGGGAAGGTTGAGATAGAAAAAATATTTTGTTCCCAGCAAACGCAAGCCAGGCACTCGACGAATGCCGGGAAATCGCTCTCCCCGAAATGTCTGGTCTTACCTAAAGGTGGGGTCAATTGTAGTCAACTCGTCTACAAGGACCCCAACGAGTGGAGAATTTCTCGGAGGGAGATCGAGCAGCAGATCAGGGAGATGAGAATGCAACTCGAAACTCTTAAAGTAAGCTACCGGTATATAAAACTCGATTCGACGAGATTCAATTTTATCCCATAGGTTTCTCATCTCTAAATCTTCGATCCGATCGACAGGAGATCCGGCGTCATCTGATGACCAAGCGTCCCCAGGTGACAACCGACAACGTCGAAGAGTATCCGGAACACGAGGAATCCCGGAACTCCAGCAAACCGCATCATCGCCATGCTAAAAATCATACCAGTCGTCACCACAGGAAGCACGAAAAACCCGTTCCCGTTGGCAGTCATGCCGTTTCAACGACCAGCGCCACTTTCACCTCGACGAGAAGCCCCGAAACCTCCGTAAACGCATACGAAGCAACCACCGTTGTCGAGATCGAGTTGCCGGTTGCTACCGAATCGACGTCGGCGCGAACAACCGAGTCGGTGGATATTCAACGATCGAGCATATCGGCCACAACGTCGACAACGAGACCGAAAAAAATTCCCAGGCGTCAGAAAACGAAGGAAAATTCTCCCGGTGGGAAAACCGTCCAAGACGAAGACAAGCCCACGAGACGTAGGAAACCGCACGGTCATCATCCGCATCATCATCACAACAGGAAGAACGACACGCTGCTGACCAACAGCGTCCATGAAATACCGCTGAAAAATTTAACGGAAAATTCCGAACCCAACTCGATCACTCCGGCTACCGTGGCCACGTCTCCGACGAATCTTCCAACAACTTCCACGACCGTGATTACGTCGCTGAAACAGGGGTATCAAGAAGAAACGCCCATTGTCGAAACGACCATTGCGGGGGAAACCGCCATTGACGCGCAAGAAAAATTGGAAGCGAATTTGGGAACCGATGATGGAGTTCCTGGCCGAGAAACGACGGAGGAGACTAAGTTTAGGAGTAGTACCAGAGGAATCGACGGCACCTCGTCCTCCGTTACCGATTTCCCTGATTTTGGCTCGGCGAAGGCAGGGACCACGACCGATAGTCTCGATACGTTCTTCGCTACCGACGACTCGGTCGGAGAGGACACGACACATCCGACGACCGCGACGTCGACCGCCCCGAGGAGTACCAGCGTATCGACGCCAAGGACGCCCGCGACGACGACGCAGCCCAAAAGACCCAAAGTACAAAGAAATAAAACCACCGGGAACCTCGGTCCGGCCAGGATCGACGTCACCATCCTGGAGTCTCCGGATAGGAAACACAAGCAAGGTTCGAGAAATTACCAGAGAGCCGCTAATTGCTCGCGACCCGTACGAATGAGAAATCGATTTAATTTGTATCAAGATGACTTTACGATCTCACAGGTGTGGCAACGACGAACAACAACGGCCGGCTTCCGCCTATGCTGAACAGTCCCCTGGAAGCGAGACACAAGTGTTACTGCGAGCCCGACTCGTACGCGAAGAGGGACGAAAAGGAGATCGCCAAAGAAGAGAGGCGCAGACTCAAGGAGGAGCGACTCAGGAAGAAGGAGAGAAAGCTCAGGAAGAAGGCGAAGCTGGAGAAGGAGTGCCTCGCCGAGAAGATGAATTGTTTCGAACACGACAACGACCATTGGAAGACCGCGCCTCTCTGGAGCGCCGGACCCTTCTGCTTCTGCATGAACGCCAACAACAACACCTACTCCTGTATACGCACGATCAACGCCACGCACAACTTCCTCTACTGCGAGTTTACCACTGGACTAGTCACGTACTATAATTTGAGAGTCGGTAGGTGTCGAGCTCGTTGTCGTTGCTCGTTACCGAATTTCGATGGAATTATTACCTGGCGAGATATCATTTCAGATCCCTTCGAACAGTGGAACAGGGTGTCGTCCTTAACGACCGCCGAACGGTCGTACCTCCACAACCAGCTGGAGCACCTAAAGGGATGCAAAGGTACGCGGGATTGTACGGTCGGAGTTGCGAGGGATACCGTCCCGCAGCCACAGCAACACCAGCGATACTCTACCAAGAGGAAGTACGGGCAATCGTTTGGTAGGTGCGCACGTTGGATCGTTTATTTGGACCAGTAATGGCGTCGATCCCTGTGCAGCGGTCCGATGACCTCGACGTCCTTGGTTTCAGCAGCAGACATGTTCGTGCCCTCGGCGCTGCAAATCATTCGTGACAGCGAGCTGGGTAATCATCCCAACAAGCGGCGCAAAAAGTTACCAAAGTGAGTGGCATCGGTTACGAATTCAATTCTCTCGAGTATCTCGGGACATGGAGCCTATTCCCTATTTTAAATTACGGAGTAAGAGCTGTACCTTATCTCGGTCGTAGCAACTGGAACAGGCGCAATCGAAGTTGGCAGAGCAGTTGGCGACATCACGAAGAAGCCGCGAATTCCCGAAGGCATCGGCATCACTACTGATCGGCCTCCTGCAAACGGATGAGACTACAAGAATTACAGGTCGATGGAACTGACCAAATTTCGCATCCGATGGCGAAACACCCGATCGGCGATACGTTTTACAGAATCGAGAACGATACAAGTGCAAAAGTACAAAGGTACATTTTACGAGCCCAACTCTTGAATTTGGGATTCCGATCGGCAAGGTTGAATTTTTAACGCGTTAAGCGCGAGTCACCGTATCGATGCAATAAGACAATGATATGCACGGAGTCGGGGTTCTCCGTTGAACGAAAAGGTGTACTTTCGTTTTTAGCACGAATTGCCGGTGTCCAGTTCCGGACTCAATTTTTCAAGATGTGGTATCAAAGTATCCAAAAGCTGCCATTTATAATTCAGTTCGTCGTTTCGGCCTCGTGGCGCGTTTGACGGTAACTAAAACGTTCACCCAGTACACTGCCACGAGCATTTCGTGCCGTCTTTTAACGGTTTAACAATTCAACGAAGAAAAATAAGTCGAACTTGAACTTTTGAAACTTAATCATGCCTACGTAATGCCGCAATAAGACTGTATATACACATACGTTATTAAGAGCAAAGCCAGCTTCTTTTGCCCCGCCGCGGGACATCCTTAAACGGATAAAAGGTTGGATCGACTCGTTACTCTGAATTGCGATCCGACACCGATACCCTCGGTTAATCTTTTTTACTCTCGCAAACACGACCTCGTTTTACCGCCTAGTTTTGCAAAATGGTTCGGATAACGTCTCATTTACAGCCACTCCTCCGCGTTCGATCGTTACTCCGCGAAACGGAGCTCCGAGTGATAGGCAATAGAGAAATATTTATGTAATTTTCTGTAGCAAGACAGAATAAAACGACGTCAGTGTATGACCACAGGCGAGGGTGTACTCTCATTTTCTGGCCTAGGATTCTTGGTCGGAATGCTGCTTAAATATAATGAGACTACTCTTTAAGGGCTTCGCGGTTAGGGACGGTAACGGATACACTCGATATAAACAGAATTGTATTTCTTTTCCCGTCCACTCGCTCCTATACAACGTCGTTATTGAAGTCCCGTTACAATTTTCATGTTTTAGGAAGATAAAAACTCTGTCGTTAGTCTTCCAGAGGGTCTTCCCTTAGGAGAGACTCTCATCTACGACCGTCGGCGGCGGATTAACGGATCCAAAAACGTTTAAACGAGTTAAAACTTAACGAAAACTCTTTTCCAACGCTAGAACGCGAACACTGGATACGGTGGGTATTTTCCCGGTAAGCTTTTATTGTCTCGATAGCCACTTTCGGACCACGACTCTCAGAGCTTGCACGAGATAACTTCGAATCATTTAACTCGGTACCGGCCAAAATGCGCCTTCAGCGGATTTAGACGGAGCATCTTGCACACGTATAATAATTAGAAGCATTGTCTTAGATACTTGTATCCGTACGGGTACATTGACCGTACTTAACGTCGCTAAGTCGAGGTATCTTAAAACGAGTCCCTAGATCCTAGTAAACACCGAGTGTTCTCGTACCCTACGCACAACCGTATCTCTGGGCAATCCGATTTTAACGACCGCATTAGAGAAGTTATAGTCCTCTAGCGCCGGTAATTCTCAAAGCGAACGGAATAACGCGAGTCGGCCTTAACCTAATCGAAACGGTTAACGAAGACGTCGAGCCGTAATCAAGAACCGGCTGCCCGAACAAACGATTTTCCATTGCAAGCCAATAAATTAAAAGGGACGTACAGGTTACGCGGTTCTTCCTACCCGCTCCGCTACATGCTTAAATCATGGGTTCTGTTTTATACACGCAATTAGTATTTATAGCAACGTCTCTCCGCTTATCCTACTTACGTTATTTAAACCTATTTTCAATATACGTATACACGGTTCTATTTTATATATATATACGTATTTATAACTTCTCTACACGTACAACCTGCTGGTGAAGTACATTATACATATATAAAACTCGAAAGTGCGGGGCGGGAAAAATGCGAGTTATCTCGTGGGAGAAGACGCTCCGTCATAACGACTAGCGAGTCCCTTACCGACACGGGATCGAAGTTACAACGGAGTCGCGCCGGAATTTTTCGAACGCTTCCCGCCTGTGCAAGGCTTCGTCACTTTCGGTCGGACTTTAAAGAAACCGTCGTTGCGGGTTTCCGCGAGCGCGAGATCGATCCTTTCGGTCCTTTCGAACGGAACGACGAGACGGAGGTCGCGAAAGTCTCAGACAACGAGAAGCACCTGCCGGCGGCCCCGATCGCGGAGGTTCTACTCACAGAGCACAAAGAGTCCTTGGCTATAACAAACATTTTATTCAGCTATCATCGTGATATCAGATATAAATGAACATTTTCATCGTCGTTAAATATACTAAACTGAATGACCTAGGGTACAAGTAGTTACGTGTCGAGTGTGAGTCGCGCGTCCCGCGTTATTCCGCTTTCCGCGCTTTCGTGGGTGTCGCGTGTGTGAGTGTGTATGTGTGTATGTGCACGTATGTATATACACGCGCGCGAGCGCGCGCTCGCCGGTTGCCCTCGCGCGCAAAAAGGAGGGTGGGCGGGGGAGAGCGCGCGCGCGCCCGCGCGACGTTCCACCCCGCGAGCGCCGCGGCGCGTCCGTCGAGCCCGGGCCGCCTTCCGGACGGGAGTCGTGCCAAGGCGGGCGACTTCACCCGGAGGGTGCTCGCCGGTCGTACCCTCCGGATGGAGTTCCGCTTGCGAGGCCCGGCCCCTCGTCGATATATGTATATTTCTCTTTCCTCGGCCAACGCCACGGTGGTACCTCCTCCGAACGGCTCCTACGGAATACTGACGTGCCTCTATACGCGCTGTACGTGGGCTTCGGTGGACCACGGCGCAGCGGCGGCCTGGAAGAGTCAACCCGGATTCGGGGACCCTCGAGATGGAGTTCCGTCCCCAAGGGGGTCGTCGCTCGTTAAGATCGGCCGAGGAGAGGAGGACAGACGACACTCCACCCGAGGATCTCACGGTCCGGAGCGGTACGGCCGCTCCCCCGCCGCTCGATCACCGTCCACCAATAGAGGCGAGTTCGCGCGAGCCCTCCGATCGTACCCTGGTGGCGTCGTCGAGACCCCGTCCGGAAGGCTTCCGGCGGTGTCCCACCCGACTCGCGCGATCATCTGCGAGTCGAGAAGGAGACCGGCCGCTCGAGCGCGAGACGCCGGTAGCGAAGCGATTCCAAAACCATAAACCATGGCAATAGAAGAGGCGACGGTAAGAGGAACCGCCCCACCGTCCCGTCTCGGAAGGGCACCGCGCAGTTTCGCTGCGGGTCCGCTCGCGCTCCGACCGACGTCGACGGCCCGTGGACGCCGCGTTGGAGGGCCGGCGCGTCCTCCGGCCCGGGCTCGGTCTTGATTTCCTGCTCGGCGGCGTTCGGTGCGAAGTTCGCGGCCACTGCTGAATCGAGGGATGTCCTCGAGCGGACGCGATGCGCGAGGGTGGAGGGTCCTCCGAAGGCCGCGGACTCTCGCCCCCGACTCTGTTCGCCTTGCCGGACCCGAATGCCGGCTAGTTGCCCACCGCCACGCCGTGGTCACCTGGAAAGAGATCCCGATGGTAGAGTGGACGCTCGATCTGGGTCCTGTGCCCTTCTTTTCCGGTTACGGTTTTCGATCGTCTAGGCGCCCCGCCCCGATGCCCTTCCCTGCCTTTCCCCGCGGAAGCCTAATCGAAACGAAATCGTCGCCAGTCGAGATCCTCGGCGCGCTTACGGGTACTCCACGCGTCTATCGATCGATATCATAGATCGGGGCGTTTTAACGATTCCGACGGGCATGCGCGGATGCAGGGAAAGGTAGCGTAATCACTCAGGCACCATCTGTACTTACAGATATATTTCGCATAGATTCAACATTTTTACAAAAAGAAATTAATACACAGGCCCGAGATAAAAAATATTTCCAAGTATGACTATCTACATTTGCGTCGACAATTCCGCACCAGACAAGCGACGGAAACGTTTGATTAAGGAACGTATCCTCGAGCTCGCGAACCTTCCCTCTCGTTAAAGAATCCTCGACACCGCGAACCCGCCGATTACAACTTCTCGATTTGAACAACGAAGCGTGAGATAGTCGATAAGAGCCCCTAAACGTGCGAATAATCCACCGATTCCTTCGGCGATTCTTCTTAAACCGAGAATATCAAGTATCGCGGGATATAATCTAGTTGCAAGAGGACGGTAATGTTGCGTTCGATTGCTGTTTTCTCTCTCTTTTTTTTTTTTAGTTGTATAAAAGTGAAAGGAAAGGAAAAGAGAAACAGAGAAAGGGAGAGACGTGGACGAGGGATTTGAACTAAAATTCTGCAATTATACGAGTAACGCCGTTTCCAGGTCTACTCTGAGTGGCATATCACAGACAGTACAGACGCGACAAGGTCCAAGCGGAAGGGAAGTAGCTAATCTATGGAAAGAATTGTTTAGGGGGCGATCCTGACTATTATAACCGAGTAATTGAGCGGTGAAAATAAATAAGTACAGCGATATTTATTTATAGGTGACATTACCTGGGCCGCTACTCGTCTAGAGGCAATGAGCCCGGCATGGGAGTAGGTGACGACGATACTATTGTAAGCCGACCCTGCTCCTTCACTATGGGATCTGAAATCAAATCGTGCACTCGTTACAAATCGGAGATATGTATCTCCGAGAATCATCCGGTTAAAAAAGGTGAGATACTCGTAGGAAGGACCACGTTATGACGATTCCGTGTACTTACAGAAATACGGATGTTCCATAGCCTCGCGAGCAGTGAGTCTTTCGTAGTGGTCATAGCGTAACAGCTTGTCAAGGAAGTCAAGGCTCTCGGGAGAGACCAGATGCTGATTCTCCGAATGGACGAAACGTTCCCAGCGTTTACGCGAGTGTCGGCCAAGGATGTCGTTGAAACGTGGATCGAGATCGATGTGGTACTTCTCTAGGTACTCGAAAAGCTCCTCCGTACCCAGGACCTTGGCGATCCTGACCAGCTGGTCGTAGTTGTCGTGGCCATGGAAGAAAGGCTCTTTCCTGAATATCATACTCGCTAGCATACAGCCCAGCGACCACATGTCCAGCGAATAGTCGTACATCTGTTCGATAGAGGACACCGATCAAACACCCTCCTCAACGACTTATCTTCTAATGGAGTACAGCCGGACCCCTCAAGGAGGAGATCCTCCTGTTTAAAACTGAGCTTTAAAGACCTGATAGTCCACGAGTAGTTCTGGCCCCTTGAAATAACGCGAGGCGACGCGCACGTTGTACTCTTGTCCTGGATGGTAAAATTCCGCCAATCCCCAGTCGATTAACCGCAGCTTCCGATTTTCGTGATCGATCATTACGTTGTGCGGCTTCACGTCTCTGTGCATAATGCCCAGGCTGTGGCAATAATCCAGTGCCTGTTGATACACGTGTAGTTGTAATCCACAAAAAATTCTCGAGTATACTTTTTTCGTAACTAACCATAGAAGCATCTATTAACGTGACATAAATTTTACCTTTAACAATTCGTAGAGGTAGTATCTTATGTCATAATCTGTGAGTGTCTGATAAAGCTGTTTGAAATCCGTATTATTAACATGTTCGAATATCAACGCTGGCGTTCGCGACACTGGATCTTTAACGACAGCTTGCAACGTGATGATGTTGGTCCCACCCCTAAGGTTCTCTAGGATTTTGATTTCTCGTTTAATCTTCTTCTTCTTCACTGGCTGGAGAAGGAAACTGTTTTATTAGTATTATTGTTCGTAGATAACGAGAGTGGTTTTATAAAATAAAAATAGAGATACCGGCAATGCTAAAAAAAAGTCTCAAGAGATTGGAATCTAACGACAGAATATGATACGATAATACCTTTAATATTTTGACGACACATTTTTCGTTATTCGTCACATTGATCGCTTCAAATACCTCACTGTATTTCCCTCGACCAAGTTTTCGTACTAATTGGTAGTCATCTTGCTGGCTGTAAAGAAGAATAAGTATGTAATAACGGTAGAATACCCCGAAACAAAGTTTTACAATTTAACAGCCCCTATATTCAAAAATATGTTTGCAACTGGTTTATACTCGACCAAACATTTCGATAAAGTTAACTATGCCTCTATTAATTTATTAGGGGATTTACTAATTCCTAGCTGTATATCTTACCCCCAATCGACAACATAAGATTCATAGTCCCAGTAGTCTCGGGGCTTATGTGAGTTGACGTCTGCATAAACCCTTCCTCTACTCGGTAATGCCATTCTCTCAAAAAGGGGTTTGTCAAGTTGCCTTTCGCTCTTCCTCGCACTACCAGCTATAAATCCTCCCGCGTCTCCTATTGAAAACCTCCGATTTCCAACTACTCTGCCACCTCCACTGACCCAGTTACTAACATACGACTGAAGGAAGAGACCTGTGAAAAATAATACTTAATTATATTTACCAGGAAAGAACCAATCGTGAGATAAAAAGTTTGGGAGTCATGGAACCGTTGAAGGATTTTGTAACGTTTCTTAGGTTTATCTTTTCTCGCTAATAGAACACTGGCAGAAAAAGTAGAAAAGCCGATAAAATTTAAAAGCTTCACGTACAAACAGGAAGTTTCACAAATAAGGAATTGAAAGGTATATCTTAAACGAACCAAAATATCAAGGATCAATTTTTTCAATGCGGCGAACAGCTTAAACCAGATCTCTGGAACGGAGATACCTGTTCGTTCGTAGCTTTCAAAGTTGGTTATGGGAGGTGTTCTGGAATTCCGAGGCGAAGGGAGCGAGGACGACAGACTCGGAGAAGAAGAAAATGTAAAATGTTAAGAGGGTTAACCGTGTTTATCGATTGCGTGGGTCTAGCTGATATTCACGGTTGACCTCCTCGTTAGGGGGCGACGATACGCTCGAGCGGTACCGGAGCTGCCGAGGTTGGTGCGTGGGTGATGCGAGCTTCCGCTTCGGCTGAGGTCAGCTTTGAATAAAAGCGGGACTCGATATTCTTTGGGTTTAGCGCCTAGCCTCTCGCACGCGCACGCACACGCACGGGAGCACGCAGCACTTACGCACGGCACACGTATACGGCTCGACCAGATATCACACGCCAGCACCATAGGCCGATTCTTTAGTGACTCGATTTCCTCTCACCTAATACATTCCGGGCCCGAATCTTGACGAATCCGCTCGCGATGGATTACGGGATTTTCCTAAGAGTCCGCGGAATTCCCGCACGGAACGCCTAGAGCCGCGCGAGTGCGTCAAACTCGGGATTTTTGCAGGCGGCCGGCTTCTCAAACGAGCGAAGTCCAAGATGGCAGCCGGCGACCCGCCACAGACCCTGCCAGTCAACCTAGACCTGCCACTGCTCAACGAATGCTACGAAGGTGGCGGCACGTTCGCGGCACGATCGCGAGCTCCATCCGTACGTGCCTTTATTCTTGGACTCCGCCATCTCCTGGGAGCTCGTAAAATCCAAGGCAAGGTTCCCTCTGCTACTGCCTGGAAATTCATTGAAACCATTACTGGGGCAAAATCTGATTTTTCTTCTTCTAAGCGTCGCGATATGGTAAAGTTCCGCAATCAAGCGCTGAAAGATAAGTTGCGAGCAGAGATGAGTTGGATCTCTGAGTTGGGCCGCCATTAGAAGCAAGTACGCTAGCCGCTTGCATTCTCCACCGAGGGCAGCACGAAACTCGTTCGCGCTACCTGCCCGTAAGCAATCTCCCAACTCATCTCTGCTAGAAGCCTTTCCTCAATGTTAAATACGGCACGGTATTGTGAGAATCGAATCCGTGAATAGACTGGTCCAAATTGCCATGGAATTGAACTTGCCCTTGACCAAGCTAAGAATTTTTAAATCTTAAATCAGTAGGTAACGTTCGACCTCTAGTGGGTACCAAGCGGGTCCATGTTAAATAAGCAACGATTTTAGCTCACTGCCGGTAGGCGGGCAATTTAGCGAAACGTGGGCTACCCGTAGGCCTATTCTTAAACTCGATACTTGTGTTATCATTGGTTTCGCGTCGTTTCAAGCGCTTGATCACTTTGACGAGAGATGGCGCCGAGAACGTTTCTAAACACGCGACACCTCGGCTGGCACCGCGAATTTCTGCTTCGGAATAAACGAGACTTACCTCCAGATTTTTGTAAATACTTTCTTTTATCCTGGCACACCGTTCACCCGAAGCACGTCGAAAACTACGCACTGATCGTTTCGTAACTCGTGATGCAAGTACGCGTAGGAGAGGGAATTCTACACTATCTCGCGTCTCGTAAAAAGATTGCAAGGTCCAGAGCAATCGTGTTTACTTAGAGCGCGTGCAAGGTTCTTCATGCCTTGTATGCAAAGTGTCTTATTTTACTTCCTCGTATGCGCGTAGATTCGTAACCGCGTCCCGTGCTCGGAGTACGAATTAATCGCGAGACGAAGGACGTCGTCGAGCTACGACCCGACGCCATCCAAAAACACCTTCGACTGCCCTTGTCCGTTCGAAATTCCATAAACGTCCCGGGCGCATTTTTAACGGTGCGACGAGCACGCGCATCGAGAGGAGTCGCTTCGTTTCTTCCCGTGATCGGAAACTGGTTTTGCGGTAGGTCCGAGCTTTCAAGGAAAGATAAAGAAAGGCACTTTCGAGTCTCATAATCACGAATGGACGGGGAAGCCGTGGTTTTAAACGGCAAGTCGCCCGCCGAGAGATCCTCGATTCGTGCCCACCATCGTAGGGTAACCACGGTTGCACAACAATAGTCACGAATAGTCGCGTCATGTCACGACTAGTACGGATACAAACTTAACGACTCGTTACGTAACGTCGCGAGACGACGCTAATATTTTACCGACGTCGAACGCTCCCCGAGAAGTTCATCCAGAGGATCGTTCTCGGGGCCCGAAGTGCCGGCGACCTCGATCGGTGCTCGTTGAAAGTAGCGTGAATCGGCGCGATTAACTTTCAAGGTGTCTCGGTGGCGAAATCATTTCGAGTAACGTAATCCATGTATTTGGATTTTTTTTCTCTCCCCGAGGACCCTTCGCGTCGCCGGGAAACCGGTATCGGTGGTTAAGAGAATAATTTGTCGACCCGCGAAATGAAACGTTACCGCGTGGACGCAAAGGCCGCGGATCCGCGTCCATGCACGAGGGGCGCCAAAGGAGGTCGAATTGAGACGTCCTAACGCGAATTTCTCGTTAATACGTTACCGGCGACGGTGATCGATGGCATCGATCGACGATACCCGTTCGATCTCCGTCCGGAGAGCCGACAGATATGCAGCGAGGTGTAACCTAAGATTTCCCGGGATTGGTTCAGCGCACCGAGATTGGATCGGAATTGCGTCAATGTTCGGGTTGCATAATGCCCCGAAGCATGGCACAACCTCGTGCATAGTGCACGCCCGTTCGACTTTATTTTCCAGATCCGCAGGTCCATGCCATGCCTGGGACCTTCTATCAACGCGTCGCCAAATTAATCCCCCAACCCACGGAAGGATTTCCTTTTCCCGAGTCTTCGAGGAATTTCGAAAGGAAGACCTCCTTTCCAGCGTTTGCTCGGATGAAACGTTGAAAATATCGCCACGCGAAGCCGACCGGTCGTCCAACGGATCCAGGGGAAAGCGCGGGGCTCTACTCGGGCTCCAACGGAATACGAACTCGCGACTCTTAGGGGCCAACCGATTGAATGTTTATTGATCTCGAAGTTTCGACACGCCCGCGTTAGGTTCGGTACACAAAATTTCAAATTTTGAGGCGGCTGCTATTTACGAAATCATCCAACGACCGACTTTGGACTTCACTTCGTCGTCGGCTCACGGAAGTGTCGCTTCGTCTTCTAAATTGCAAACGATACCTTCGTCGCGCGGTCGGTTGCCCAATTTTTGTTTTCAACTCCGCATAATTCTTCGGTGACGTAAGTGAAAAAAAATGTTATAGCGACGGGGTCATTTTGATTCCAAGAATCGTTGCCAAGATTCGACTGCACTACGTCGATGTTTACAATTTTCGCATAGTCACGACGTATCGAGGTGGTATTTTTGGACGCGCAGTTCTCGCTTAGGTGAAGTCACTTTTGTGCATTCTCGGGAGATTTATTTACCGTAGCACCGGTCGAAGAAGGAGAGATTCGAGAGAGCGAGTTAGTAGCCAAACGTCGGATGGTGATTTTACCGGTTGATTTAATTTTTTTTAGAGACATGCCGCCGCCGAAGAAATGCGAAAAAAGGAACTCGCACTGCAAAACCTGTCGCTGTTACGACACCTCGGAGAGCTCGGAAAGTTCGGACTATTCGAACCTCGATGATACCTCCGAAACGTCGAGCTGCGATTGTTCCGATTGTTTGGAGTGCGATGACGTTCCACGTCGCAAGAGAGGCGGGAAAAGAAAGACCAAAGCCGTGGCGAAGAAGGCAGCGAAGCCGAAGAAAAAGAAGCCCACAGTCCCGCGGCGTAAAAGTTGGTATCCCTTTGTCGGATAAAGAAAATTTCTGAAATTCAATAAAAGCAACTCTCTCTCGATTAACGGTAACATCCACAGGATGCACGACATCGAGCACCAGTTCCTCCGGATACAACGAGGGCCTCAAGAACGGCGGTTGCCCGTGCGAAAAAAAGAAGCCAGGGAGAAAAGTCAAAGCCTAACGTCTTCGGCTTCGCGGTTACCCCAGAATTTTATCCAGCGCGTTATCGTCAGGGACGTTAATTATTTATTGCATATACCCGCACTATTTATCATCGTGAGTCATATACATGTAAGATTGCCCTATCGCCTATTACCAGTAAACAAAGATATTCCCCTTTACTTTTATGAAATCTCGCGACTTTGCCCACGACTCGAGAAAATCATTCCTGCCGGAGAGATCCCACATGTCGGTTGTCCCGGAAAGGAAGGCGGTTTCCTATTATCAAAATGTCTCTCCCTGCGACAAATCGCAGTTTACACGTGCCATAAACCTCGCCCCGTGTCGGTAATTAGACGCCATCTCATGTAAGGGCAATTCGCGCGGCGTGCACCGCGCAGGAGTAGCGTTCGCTGTAACACGATTTGGGCAGCGTGGCGAAAATGGGTTTCCGTATCAACGCGGGCGGCAAATCCGCGCAGGAATCGACGTCGGACTCGAGAGTAACGATTCTCGCGGGTGACGTTCAATCCCAAGGGTTCCAACCCCCGACCTTTATTGGCCCTTACCGTAGCACGCACCGCTTTCGTTCGACCGAGGGGAAAGCCGATCCCCTAATTGGATGCCGGTCCACGACGTACGTTTACGATCGTTGCGCGGTATGCCCATTCGAACATCGATTCCAGAAAACAACGTCTAATTATTAATCGTCCCTCGAGAGAAACCTCGAGTCTCCCCGGGGCGATATCGAAATTGGGAGCGATTTTTCTTTCGCGACCGTCAAGTCGAATCGACGAAATCGAAAGGTCAGCCGACGTGAGAAAGACTATTTCCGTGTCGGCGGTTACGTAACCGCGATACGCGTTGCGTAACGATAATTGCGGCGCTAGTCGCCCGACGAGTCTATTGGCCTTTATCGGGGTATGCGCAAATCATTCGCGAGTAGGCACTCGTTTTCCTTCGTTCCCTCGACGGCTTCGCGACCGCCGGATCGTCCAAGATGGCGCCGCGAGAAAAGGGCCGCGGCGGGAAATCCGGTCTCGAGGCCTCCGCGGAGATTTCGAACGAAAAGACCCACGGCCGTTCCTCGGACGACGCGGACGAAGGCTCGATTAAAGGTCCTCCTCCGCTTGAATTGGCAGATGCGCTGTCAATTCAAGCGTCAATCACGGAAGGGGTTCGTTCTCGAGTGTTTGTCTCTCGACCTCGGTCGAGACGATGCAAACTCCGGTTATGGTTCTGCTCGTCGGCGCGATGACGTAACCCAGGCAGGACACGATAGCCCAGAAAATGGCGGAGGCTGTCGGCGCTCGAAGTAGGTTTCTGGAGCAATCGCGAATACGCGTTGCGTGAATATCTCGCCTGCTTTCCCCCCTCCGGCCCGGCGGATCGATTCCGAAGGCCCCCTTTGAAAAACCGCGAATCCGTGCCGGCACGAGTCGTCCTTATCGCGGAGGAAACTGGAGCGATTTGCTCGCTTTTCGAAATTGGGCCCACGCCTCGACGGAAGCGTCCCATTTCGTTGTCGTTTCCTTCCTTCGACGTCGAGCTCTGGACGTACGCTCCAACTTATCCCGAGTACGTTCGCAAGTAATTGGGAGCGATCGGAATTTATTTACTCGCGCGACAAGGACGACGTCTTTTGTCCGAAGCGATGTCAAATCGCGAGACGGTACTTTCTTCCTCGACTCGGCGCAGGAACCATTGAGATCTAATAGGCATTAACGTCGCGAGCCGTTATTTACGAGAGTCGGTAACCGGTGCTCGCTTCCCCGCTAATTGTTCCGAGTTACGTTAAGTAATCTTATCTGCGCGCCGTGTACGACCGCGAGCACGGATTAAGCAAGCGACGCGACCGTCGTCGGCGACCTCAACGTCGGGAAAAGGGACCTTTCGTTCTCGCGAAAGAAAAATCGGAATTCGACGTCGACCGTCCCCTAGAATTTTCCCTCCCAAGGCGACGCGGCGCTGCCCTCGATTTCGGGAGTCCACCTTCTCGCGACTCCCTTCTCTTTCGGCCCCGATTAGCGAAAAGCGTTGCAGAAATCAAGGGGCGAGCGTGCGAATATTTGAGCGCCGAGATAATGGCGAGTGCCGCGATAGGCGCGAACGAGGTACACGTGAACACGCGCGCCGTGTCTAATAGTAAAGTTACGTCAGGCGTGCGTTGTACGTAGTAATTACGTAACGTATCCCGTAAGTCGAGTTAACGAGCGAGTGGCGTCCTCGGGACGGTATAGGGACGCGCGCAAGGATCGCCGATAATCCGGCCGCGTCTCGACGGGTTTATTTCACCGAGACCGCAGCTGGCGAGCTCTCGAACTTCGTCTCGACGCTCCACGAGAGAAGGAGTTCGACGATCCTAACGATCCCCGATCGAGTCGATTGGGGGAATCGCCAGCATCGACGATCGCCTCGCGACAGGATTCGACCTTCCTCTTCGTCTCCTGTCTTCTTGCCCCCCCTCGCTTTTCTAACCCAGCCTAACCTAAGCGCGTCCGCCCGTCGAAAACACGATGACGCCAGTCGCGTCTTAACAACATTATTTCGTCCTTTCACGGTCAAAGTGCGACGGAATTTCGTCGCTCCTCGACGCGCCCGGATGGAGGGCCATCGACCGACCCCCGTCAGAGGGGAAACCGACTCGAGGGCGAGGGAATCGGGACAAAGGACGCGTCCGCGCCAATTTTGGCGCGATGAAAAAATTCGGTCGGTCCGGCGAGCGATCGATCGCGATCGGTATCGATGGCGACGCGTCGCGGGAATCCGCGGCCTCGCCGCCAGGGTCGCGTCTTCGTAACGTCTCCGGCGACGAGAAGAAAAGAAAAACGAGTCGCCTCTCCAGTCGGGTCGGATTGGGTTAGGTCGGCAGCAACGAATTTAGACCGGCAAGGGAACGGCGAGAGCGGCACGGTCACCGCCGGATAATAACGTCGGACGGACGGAAGCGTGGTAACAAGGAACGACCTCTGCGGGCCGATAAGTTCGCGGTTCCACTGGCGATAACCTCTCCCTGGCGACGGTGGTCCCATCCCGAGGCCGCGCCCGTTGCTAGGGACGCCACCGCCGCGTTCTAACCTCGACCGGGAACGCGAGGCTCTTGCGCCGAATTTTAAACCATTTTTTTCCCAACGTCTCGAATCCGAAAGTGACTCGAGGATTTCTCGGCTCGCGGAATGCTGCCCGATTCCGTCCCAAAAATTCGATATCAACGTCCGAGAGACGAAGCGTTTCGGCGGTGTCGTCGCGAACGTGAGCGCCGAGAAGAGATCGGGAGAAGACGGGAGAAATAGATAGAGAAAGAGGGAGGGAGCGGAGAGAAAAAGTAGACGCCAACGCGAGTATCGTTAGGTTAGGTCAGGCCTACGAATTTAGCATATTACATCAGTCGGCATCGCACCCGTCGGCCCGGCCGCGACGCGGACGAAAGCAAACGGCACGCTCGCTGCATGGCATTAAGCCCGTATTACGCGAGTCGCGATATCCCCGACTAATGCATTATACATACGCACGCCCTCGATCGCGCTCGCGAGCCGGTGCACCGCCGCGCCACCAGCTGGCGCCACGGATTGCACTCGCGTGGCCCCCGAGTGCATCGAAAGTTCCCGAAATTCCGCGACCTTGTCCGTCCCGCGGCGAGAAATTTCGAGAACGAGAAGAGAGAGAAAAATGGCGGTGCCGTCATTGCAAACTGCACGCCGGATAAAAATGAACGGCAAAGCCAACAAAGGGAGTGCACCCGCGTCGCTGTTTGCCGACTTCGCGACGGCGAGGAAAAACGATTTCGAGAGAAATTTACCGGGCGCACTTGCACCGATCGCGTCTCGACGAGCTCCCCGGCACGTCCTCGAGACGGTACTCCAGGTTGGACGCGGTTCCGCGGGTCGAACGTATTCCCCAAAAAAAGGAGAAAGGGGGAACGAGAAATACCGCGGATGCAAATCGGAGGGGCCGACTTTTTCGTGCTCCGAGCGGTCCATTGGGAGGCTTACGCCAAACTTCTTTGTTCGATCCTTCGGCTTTTAGTTATTCCTCCGAACGGAGGAGCAAAATGGCCGCCACGATATCGGCTATTTTTTTACCGTTTCGCGTCCTTCGTCGAGAATCCCGCGTTTCCATTCGCACCTAAGATTCGACGAGGTAGCTCGGTCGTCCCTCGAGGTAGAGATTTTCATCCGTTGCATAATTTGGTTGAAATCGTCGAGTGCACCGTTTGCTCGTCGAGGCGATATAATCGAAGGACACCGATAAAAGAAGTAGAAAAAGAATCGACCGCGAGCCCGCGACGTAATCTCGCGCTGACGTCACCGACCAAGGTGTATATTTATAGAGCCGGGTGGCTGCAATTATCGATTTTCCGGGAATCGCGGCTAGCTAAAAGGTGCAACTATTTAACCCTACGAAACCGCGACCTACTCTGGATAAAATTACGACCACGTGGAGTGACGTTAAATGTCACCTGGGGCGGCTGGGCAAGATCTGCCCGATCTGCCGGGCGGTATGCACGTAACGCCTCGCGATAAAATGCAAACAAGAATCGACGTTTCCTATTGTTGGGGACCCTTGCACGCGCGATCCCGCCAAAGGACCGAGATTAATAACTCGTCGTTTGTATCGCCGTTGAAAATTAACGGATGACGATAGAAAAGACTCGTCCAATCGCAGTGAAATTTCTACTCGGCCGTTACGAAATCGATCGACCCATTATCGGACACACGGGCCATTATCGGCCGTATCAACGAGGGGCTCATCAACGTCGAGACGCGTTGCAACGTCTTTGACGGCCATTGTCGGCATTGTTTCGCGCACCTTTGCGACAGCCTGTTCGACGACCCGGACAACGGATGGTTCCCTTATCGAAAACCCGAGTATTTTCGCGCCGACAGTCTAGACTTTCGTCAAACAAACCGGCGAGAGAGAGGCGTGGCGAAATTAAAAAAGGAAGCCGGCGTCGTCGTCGCGTCGATCGATCGCGAGCCCGACCGCGCAATGCCGATTATCCGATCGTTACGCGCACCGAGACTTGACGATGCAAACTTCGCAAGTGTCGTCGGAGTAGCGTCCCGATTAAATACTCAGAAAATTCCGCGCTCTAACCTCGAAAAACCTATTTTCGCGCGGCGTTATCCCCGTCTCTCAAACCCGGTCGATCGGATCGAAGTTCGATCGACCTTCGCCCGAG